GCTTCTTCATTTCTGATTCGAAAACATTTTACTTCATCAATGGTCAAAGTTTGCATTTTACAGGTGTGTTGTCGTAAATTTGAGCAGTGTTTTTCGCCGCATGTTACCTGTTGCAATCAAAAGTATGTCAAGAAAGACAAGGTGAGCTTCCAGGACTCTGAATAAGATGTGATTCATTGTAAATAGAGTATATATGCTCTTGAACAGAATCGTTATCATTTATCAGTACGGTGTTATCTATGCATTTCGCCTGACATCTTCTAGGCGAGCTGCGGGTGTCAAGCAGCTCTCGGTGAAGCCTGTCGCAGTGTCTGTACAGAAGTAGGCCGAACAAAAGTGGCCAGTGTGTTCCTGAATACTGCGGCGGCGGCTCTCATGCTGGCTTGGCCATTCGAAGTACGGTTTTGCGGTGTTTCTCAAAGCCTTTCACTCAGTGGATAGTCTCTTTATCCCAAATTGAACCACACATAATTTCTAAGGGAGTGGAATGCTATTTGATCATTCATAAATTCGGAGACAATCATCAGTCTTACTAGAAAATTTTTTTTGCCTTTAAATTCGCACTGTTTTGATTTTTTTCAAGTGTTTTCAGGAAGGCTATTCAGAACGTAGTGATCGATTAGCTAAGCTGGCGAAGGAGGAAGTAGGCAAGTTCTCACCGGACACACGAAATGAAATCTGTAAGTATTAAAAAGGGAGGGCATTCTCCCTTTCCTCTCCCTCCTATCTGACACTTGCCCTTTATTTTTTCCGTAGGGCATATGCACAGAACTGGTCTCTGAAAGCTGCTATTCTCAAACCGATTCCATGGAATTTCATGGTTTCAGGCCTCTTATCTACACAGCTGTGCTCACTCATCAAATGCTCCAAACCGCCTCCGATGCTGTGGTGCACCAACGAATCCAAACAATCCGAGTGTTGTCCGCTTGCGTCGAGTTGTAGTTGCAAGTGTGATATCAAATTACAGTAGTGGACGCTACTCTAATAAAAATGTTTATATAATCGGAGTTCTTCCATGGTAATCACGTTGAGATCTTAAAGACAGCGCCCATGATCAGCTTGAAAGGCTCAGAATTGTTAGAACATGTGGTAGATGAAGTAATGGTCAAGAAAAATCGTATAAAAAAGAGGTGTTGCATAGACACGAGATCAGTGGGCCTATTCCCGACTGAGACTTTCGACGAGTTTTGCAGATTTGGCCAGGTCCCGCGTGTGGGCATCAGACCGCCGTCGTGGCGGCTAGTTCTCGTGATGCATTGACTACAGTGCTAGTATTACCGCGATCTGTCGGGTCGCAATCAGCGATTCCCAGCTGCGGCCTCACCACCGAAGGCTGGTTACTTCCTGCAGCGATCATTGCTCGATCACCATTTGGAGAGCAAGGCGGCCGGACGCGAGCTCGTGCCATGCTGCGCTCGCCGCCCCCGACAAATTGCAGTGTTACAACTATAGGTTGCTCTAGTGTTAATCTATCCAACTAGGTTCTGTCTGATCTAACTGTGCTTTGTGGAATAGTCGCTACGACAATTGACCAAAGTTTTCGACCAGATTTCGCTGTTCTAGCCAAAGGCACCTCCAATCGTATTACATGGTAACCGAATGATTGATCACTGGTTAGGTGACTCATCTTGGTTGCACGCTTCTCATTTTCCATTCTCAAATAGATACGCAACTATGATAAAGAAGAGGTGGACCTCATTCGCAGTAGACTTCGATTGGAATTTTCGCTCTCTGAAGGATGCAATAGGGATCAAAGAGCTGGTAACTAGAGGCTGTCAACTTTGATAAATAAGCTGGGTACGGTCGCATTCTCTGGTCGAGATCCATGATCTTTCCGCGTGGCCTGATCCCCACTTGCGGTCTTCGCATTGCCGATAGTGGAGAAAAATAGAGTTTTTCTGAAAGAATTCAAGCGTGCCGTCAGCCTGTTTTGTATTGATTAGAGGTGGATTGTGTCCTTACAGCTGTGGCTACATAAGTATCAGCGTACCGAGCTTGGAGTCCAACCATATAACACACTGAAATAATTATCCCAGTGCACATCTGCTTTTGGCTAAGCAGATCTAACCTTTTCTCCTTGAGACCAGCCATGAGGATGCTGCATAGTTTACGCGGGACTCCGACAAACATCGCTTTCTACTGTCGCTCTAACCATAAATCTCACAAATGTTATCTCCAGTGTGTCAAGCAAAAGAACTCAGTCCTGTCATTCGGTATGAGCTTGTCAGATGGGCTCAACTATGAGGTATTGTTTATCAAAATTTTCCGCGATAACCGTGATTGCCAGAAGCATGGCTGTTACCAGTCAGGTAAAGCCTAGAGAGGTGCCACTTACTGGTGATTACGTTCGGCTGCGCCTCAAGAAGCATGAGTAAACGGCCGTCATTCTGTGCTGGTGGCCGACCTATACATTACGTACTGTCATGACCCTCAGGTCATGATAATGAGGAGGCACGCATATTACTCATTCTTCAACAGATTGCTGACACTTTAGTTCACTAAATCAATCAATACAAGATTCGAGCGGCGACCCCTCACAGCCCCATGGCGAAGCGGCATCCATCCAATAGGCGGAGCCACCTGTGCCGCCCACTTTTTGGGGTACAAATACCGCGCTCCGGCAGTTCGAGTCAGTCTTCGCTCGGTTCGCTCAACCCAACTGGTCGCCTCTCCAACAAGCGACTCCGGTCGTCACTCAAATAACCTAAGGCAAGTAACCGCAAATAACCTAAGAGGCGCCACTTCGCAACTAGCCCAACAACACATCAACGCGTGGCAAGGGACATGGACACCAACGGACTCGTCACTTAATCAATACACGCAACCCTAACACTAAGGCTTCACCACACACCCAATACACAACACGTTCCCTTTGACAGCTAGGTAGCCGTAGGTATCCAATTGTTGTAACGTCGTATATGCTTTGTCGTGTAATAAACACTTTGACATAAAACTGTGTTAGCGAGCAATCTACCACGAATACGCCGTTTCACCTACCTCCGAATTGAATAAGTCCAGCTTGGAAGCGCTGATGAAAAAGCTACTCTCTGCCATGGCAGGCGATACCCTTCTTTGAAGACACATGGTACGATCACACATAGTTTGGGTGTGTGTGACTATCGAAGCGTAGCGGTTTCCCCGTCCTAACATGCGCAGGAATGGAGATACAGGACCGTGAAACACGCTAATTCCTCCATGCTCCGCCTTATACCTTTTTGCGGCGCAGATTCCCGTTCATGCTAACATCCGTCGTAAGCGCGCGTGTCGCGTGCGGCTCTCTTGGCACTTTGCCAAGTCCTGTAATTGCGCTTTGGAATACAAGTAAAACGCAATTTCCTGATGCGGATAACATTTAGGTGCTGCAAAATAAGAACCGAAGATGATGACGAGGGCCAGAACTCAAGAGCAACTGTGCTGCTTCTGTAATATACTGTCGCCTAAACCTACATCCGGAAAAAATGCCGGACGAGTTTTACGGGCGCAAGTCGTCCACTTCGTTGTGGGACCACGCGTCCCTTTAACTTCATTTGAATTAGGATACTTCAATAAGAGCGGTTTTTTGCAAGATTATCGCTTTTGTGCGTAATCACAGTTAATATTTTCGAGATCTGCTTCTGCTTCGATTAGGAACACATGAAACCTGAGGTGCAACCGGAAACTTGAGCACACCAACTGCATCTTCTGTTTTTTGGGACTACATCCCATCGGGTGCCACCATTTTCAGAAGTTCTGCCACTCAGCGTTGGAATTTCACCGCAGGAAGATATCTACAACCTATCTTCGGTATTCTGTGCACACAACCGCTGTTATAAGAGCTGTTTTTTAGATGTCCGGCAGGCGAAAATTTCCGTTTGACATGTGTGTTTGGAGACACTTTTAAGCTTTGCTCATTTAGAGTCGCTCTCAAAGAAATGAAACGTTGAGTTCGATAACAATACAATAAATTCTATATCAACTAGATTCATGAAGCAATTCTTCACGGGCGCTGAGTGGTAAACAAAATTCCACAAAAATGTGTTACAAAACGTTACCAAGTGTTTTAAATGCAGCTGGAATCAATGACGCTGGTACTGCTGCGTGGAAACGTGAATTAGCTCCCCTCTGAATCATTGGCAGATGTTTATGCTTCGGATCAACCGCAGTATAGCATAGTTCGACGCTCTTACTTGTGTTCTCCCACCCCTTTTCGCAGGTGAACGAGAGCAGCCCGAATACATACATGACTGCTGGAGCCATTCTTACCCATGCAGACCCAACCTTACAGCCAAAAGCGGTATGCACTTAGCAAAGCACGAAATCGGTAACTCAGTATCCACTTTCATCGGCCTTTCGAAGCAGAAGCAGATCCCAAAAAGATCAACTATGATACGCATAAAAGCGATAATCTCGCAAAAAAAACGCTCTTATTGAAGTATCCTAATTCAAATGAAGTTGAAGGGACGCGTGGTCCCACAACGAAGTGGACGACTTGCGCCCGTAAAACTCGTCCGGCATTTTTTTCGGGTGTAGGCTCAGGCGACAGTCTGCACTATCCCTCGGAGGCCGCGCATTTCCACGAAACATGAAAATAAAACGGCCCAAGCGTCCCACTCGTTAGTTTAAAGTATTTCTATGGCTTTGGAGCCGGATTCGCGCCGGATCGCAGAAATTTACACGCGATTTTAATTAATTTGCGTTTCCTTGATTTTTTCATTTGTTTTATTTACATCTACATTCGTTGTTCTTCATTTCTAGCCTTTGTCATCTTCATCACCTTATTCGGACTTTGAAGCATGAGCAACACCTCAAATGTTATTCGCATCAGGAAATTGCGTTTTGCTTGTATTAAACTAACGAGAGCCGTTTTTATTTTCATGTTTTGTGGGAATGCGCGGCTCTGAGGGATGTTGCAGAAGCAGCACACTGCTCTTGAGTTCCGGCCTCGTCAGCATCTTCGGCTCTTATTTTGCAGCAGCTCAAACATTACTCGCATCAGGAAATTGCGTTTTACTTGTATTCCAAAGCGTAAGAGGACTTGGCAAAGTGCCAAGAGAGCCGCACGCGACACGCGCGCTTACGACGAGTGTTAGCGCGAATCTGCGCCGCATAAAGGTATGTGTTCTGGATTGCCACCAGAACCTGCCGGTGCACCCTTTTATGACTGACTGATTGATATGTATAACCCATAGGCAAATTGAGACATGTGATTATGACCCATAGGTAAATAGTTAGATACTCGATGCGTGACCTCTCCTGTATTGAGAGGCACGCCTAGATTAAGTGAGCATTCTACCATGTCCACCACCGAGACCACCCCGTCTCGGACTACCTAGAGACCACCCCGTCTCAACTACATTGTATTCCATCGCAACTACAACGAGACCACCCCGTCTCGTCAATAAAGGTATATAAACCTTCATATTTCAAAAGGTATAAGGCGGAGCATGGAGGAATTAGCGTGTTTCACAATCCTGTATCTCCATTCCTGCGCATGTTTAGGACGGGG